AAAGAAAAAAGCCGGAAGTGGCACTGTGGCTCAAGTGGTAGAGCGCTAGCCTTGAGCTGAAGAGCTGAGGGATAGCGCCTAGGCCCAGAGTTCAGGCCCCATGACCGGAACCAAAAAAAAAAAATTGCAATCTTTAATTACACAATAAATTTTAAAGTAATAACTCCAGAAGCATAATCCATAAAGAGAGAGAGAGAGTGTGTGTGTGTGTACACACCAGTACTGCGGATGGAGATCTGGGTGCTATCCTGTAGCTTTTTTTATTTTTATACTTTTTCTTTTTCGCTGGTCCTTGGGCTTGAACTCTGGGCCTAAGTGCTTTCCCTAATCTCTTTTGTTCAAGCCTAGCACTCTACCACTTGAACCACAACTCTACTTGTGGCTTTTTCTGTGACTAATTGGAGATAAAGAGTCTCACAGACTTTCCTGCCCAGCCTGGATTTGAACCACAGTCCTCAAATCTCAGCCTACTGAGTAGAGCTAGGATTACAGGCTTGAGCCACTGGTGCCCAGCAAAAAGAAAAATTTTTGAAAAACAAAGTAATTTTTAGGTGCTAGAGGTGTGGTTCAGGTCATTGGAGCATAGTGTCAGATAAGGAATCTGAGTTCCGTTTTGGACAAAAAAAAAATACTGATTGACTGCAATACTGGGTTTGAATACAGGGCCTAGTGCTATTCCATTACTTAAGCCCTTTTTACTTTAGATGTTTTTCACATAGGGTCTCAAACTTTTGCCCTAGTCAGCCTCAGACTGTGCTCCTCATACTTCTAATGTCTAAGTAGCTGGGATTACAAGTGGGCACCACTCTGCTCAGATAATCTTCCAATTTCTACAGGACAGTCCTTTGAATATTTAAATAAGATCTCATTTCCAACAAAAATCTTATTTCCTGCCTCCTCATCCTTTGCTCATTTCTAGTCCTTATTTCAAACTATACAGTGAAGCAATGATTTGCACAGAATTCCCACTGTATTAAATATTGAAGTAGTATCAAAATGATTTTTTTTTTTTGTCGGCAGTGGGGCTTGAACTCTGAGCCTGAGCGCTGTCCTTCAGCTCTTCAGCTTAAGGTGAGCACTCTACCACTTGAGCCACAGCACCACTTCCTCAAAATGATTTAAAGTTTACAAAAGGTGGGCATTAATGAATTGATCATGCCTGTAATCCTAGCTTCTCAGGAAGCTGAGATCTGAGGATCACAGTTTGAAGTCAGCCCAAGCAGGAAAAGTCTGTGGACTCTCCAATTAACTACCACGTAAAGCTGGAAGTGGAGCTGTGACTCAGGTGGCAAGAGTGCTAGCCTTGAGCACAAACAGACAAAATGTTCAGGGACAGCTCCCAGGCCC